ATATATATATATGAATGTGGAGAGACAGCGCAAATGTAACAAAATGTTAACTGGTGAATCTAGGTGAGTAGCATTTGGGTGTTCTTTGTACTTTTTGTTTTTTGCAAATTTTCTATGGGTTTTGAATTTTTAAAAATAGCATACTAAGGAAGGAAATAAATCACCTCCCTTGATACCACTTGGACCATGCTACCATCTCTCTGTCACCTGGGTTATTTGTCAGGAGGCTAACAAATCTTGCCTCTCTCTCTGCTCACTCATCATTTTCTATTCCCAAGGTAGCAGCCAGGATGATCCTGCTAAAATGTTGGTTCATACCACATCTCTGTTCAGAACCCTGCAATGGCTACCTATATTTTATTCAGAGTAAAAGATAAAATTGTTAAATATCCTACAAGAATTTTCATCATTTGGCCCTTTTGTTATCTCTTATTCATCTCCTACTTTTTTCCATCTCATTTCACTCCAGCCACACTGGCCTCTGCTGTTCCTCAAATTCACAAAGCACGCTCTTGCCTTTGCTCTAGTTGTTCCTTCTGCCTAGAGCAGTGGTTCTCAAAATTTTTGGTCTCAGGACCTCTTTCCACGCTTAAAAATTATGATGACCCAAAGTTTTTGTTTATGTGGTTTATATCTAGTGATATTTACTATATTAGAAATTAAAGCTGAGAAAAATTTTAAATATTTATTCATTTAAAAATAACAATAGAGCCAGCCCTGATGGCCTAGTGGGTTCAAGTTCAGCACACTCCGTTTTGGTGGCTTGGGTTTACTTCCTGGGCATGGAATCACACCACGTATCTGTCAGTAGCCACGCTGTAGTGGCGGCTCACACAGAAGAACTAGAAGGACTTACGACTAGAATATACAATATGTACAGGGGCTTTGGGGAGATAATTAAAAAAAAAAAGAGAGGAAGATTGGCAGATGTTAGCTCAGAGCGAATCTTTGGAAAAAAATAAAAATAACAATAACAAACCTGTTACATGTTAAGTAACATTTTTATGAGAAATGTTTTTCAAAACAAGAAAATTTTTGTGAGAAGAATAGTATTGATTTACATTTTTGCAGATCTCTTTAATATCTGGAGACAGCTGGATTCTGATTTCTGATTCTGCATTCAATCTGTTGTGATATGTTGTTTTAGTGGAAGTAGATGAAGTCTTTTCAGATAATCATATATATTCTTTGATACTACTCCAAAATTTAGGTGGTAGTTTTTTAAAGGTTGGTTGCATTAAGGAATCTGAAAACATATCATTGAACCTTTTGTATGCTCTTACATTAAAATCCATTGGTCTTTCTTGCACTTTGAATGGATCTTTTTCTCATGCATGATTTTTGTAGCATCATACACTGGTCGTTTGGAAAATATCCTCACTGAATTATGCAGCTGTCCCAAAAGTTGACACATTTCATTATACAATATTTTTGAAAAATCACAATATCACCACCAGTATCAGGAAGCTGTCAGACTTAACAATGGTGGATACAGATTTTCTAAAATTCTTATTTTTGTTTGGAATCTCAAAATTTATCATTGGCAACAAGTATTTCAACTATTTTCCTTGATGTGATAGGCTCATTTTGTTTATTTTCTAAAAAAATAAAATGTCTGCTAAATATCTAAGACTGAATAAAGATTAAAAGTCAAACTTTCAAGGGGCCGACCCAGTGGTGCACTCGGTTAAGTACACGTGCTCTGCTGCGGCGGCCCGGGGTTTGCTGGTTTGGATCCTGGGTGCGCACCGACGCACCGCTTGTTAAGCCATGCTGTGGTGGTGTCCCGTATAAAGTAGAGGAAGATAGGCACAGATGTAAGCCCAGGGCCAGTCTTCCTCAGCAAAAAACAGGAGGATTGGTATCAGATGTTAGCTCAGGGCTGGTCTTCCTCACCAAAAAAAAAAAAAAAAAAGTCACTCTTTCAAGTAAAAATAGTGTTCCATGGGGAAAAAATGGCTAATTCAGCTTGCAACTCAAACAAATGCTTTTCTTGGAGTCCACCATCATACTTTGGTATGCAGAAGAGCTTTGTGCATATCTCACATTTCATCTCGCAATATATTCAAAAGACATATTTAAGAGTTGAGATTTAATAAAATTAGTAATTTTTACTGCTTCCTCAAGGAAATTCTTAAATGAAACTGGCTTCCTTCCTCCCGTTTAACTGCAGATGTGTGGAGGTAAAGAATACAAAGATCTATAGCACGTTTTGGTACTACTGCCTTGATTTGTGCTAAATTGCTAATAGTTTTACCTGCTGTTGCTTTTTTACCTTCATTGCAAATGTCAACAAAATGAAAAAGACCAATTATGTGTTAGTATAATTATGAAAATAGTTTTGGCATCAGAGACCACCTAAAGGTTTCAGCAATCCCCCAGGGGTCCACAGACCATACTTTGAGAACCATTGCCCTACAACACTACTTAATATCTACCTGATTCCTTCATCTCTTTAAGTGCTTGCTTAGAAGTCAGCTTTTCTGTGACCTCTATTCTGACTGCTATATTTAATAATATAATCTGTCACTACCCCCAGCCACTGAGCCCCACACTTTACTCTAATTTTCCTCATCACCTTTTAACATAGTATGTTTTTCTGTTTATTACTATTTTTAAAATATCTTTCTTCCACTAAAATATAAACTCCTTAGAGTTAGGATCCTTGTCTCTCGTTTACTTATGTATTCCAAACTTACAGTGTAATGTCACATTAACAGGGCTTAAGACTTTTGTTAGGTAAATTTTCTTTTTTTTTTTATTTATTTTTTTGAGGAAGATAGGCCCTGAGCTAACATCTGTTGCCAATCTTCCTCCTTTTTTCCTTTTTTCTCCCCAAAGCCCCAGTAGATAGTTGTATGTCATAGTTGTACATCCTTCTGGTGGCTCCATGTGGGACACTGCCTCAACACAGCCGGAGAAGCGGTACGTCGGTGCGCACCTGGGATCCGAACCCGGGCCGCCAGTAGCTGAGTGCGCACACTTAACCGCTAAGCCACGGGGCCGGCCCTCATTCAATTATTTTTGAAATTTTCATTTCCACAATCATATTTTTATATTTTCCAGAATCATTTTTCTTGTTCTCTGATTGCTCACCTTTATATAGAATTCTGTTCTTTTATAGACTCAGCAAATTGTCTTATCTCTCTGAGGATTGATAATTTTTTTGAAGTTTTCTTTTTTCTGGTGTCTCTATTTCTTTGTACGTTTTTGTTTTGTTTATGGTTTGTTTGTCTTAGTCTTTTTCCTGCTGGAGATTCTCATACATCTGGCATTCTGGACATACTTAGGAGGCAGGCTGAAAAACTGATAGGAAGATGTGTGTAGGTGGGTGTATATGCTCATCATCTCCTGGGCTTTGTTGTAGAGTAATTGGGCAGCAAAACCATATTTTGTTTGAGGAACTCCAAATTTCATTATGTTTTCTGAGACTGTTCTGTTTCTCCAGAGACAGGTTTTCCAGTTTCCTGCTGGAAGGCGGGTAGATTGGGGTGAGGTATGGAGTAGGTAATACTCCTGGAGCTCTGGGAGCTGGGCATTGGAAGAGGGCTAGAGGTTTTCATCAATCAAGATGTGAACTTTTACTTAATCTCTCTAGTTTTGACTCCGGTGCTTCATTTCAGCTTTTCCTATGCCTGATACCTGAAAGTTCAGTTTCTGTAGTTTACTTTTTGTTGTTCAGTTTCTCCTTAAAATAAACCTCTAGTCTTTGGTAGCATTGAGAATGTTAGACACCTACCTGTGTGGTAGGGACCCAGAGTCTAACCTGCTTCTCATTTAGATTTTTAATCTTTCCTTCTATTTTAGCACCACGCCTCTTCCCTGCCTTCTGTAATACCTGGTACCTCGGATTCCTAAGGCGCTTTAGGGTGATGGTTGGAGGATAAATTACCTAAGTCAGATTATCTCCCTTTATTCGCCTTCATCTTCATATATTGTGTGCAGGATTATAAATGTCTACTGGTCTCCTCAAAGATGAGATTTGTATTTCTATTTCTTCTTTTCCTTGTTTTCAGAAGACAGTGGGGGCAGAAGTATTTTTATTTTGCTCTCTTAAAACTAGAAATCTGTAGTACATTATTTTTTTAAATCAGTAAAAAGATATGTATCAACTACACTGATTTTTTTTTTTTTTTGCTCAAAACTTTATATTTGCTTTAAAAAACTGATTTTCACATTTCTGTGTTCAAGGAGGAGGAGATAGTTGGCAAGGGTGGAGGCATGATTTTTAGGGAAGGTTCCAGTTGTGCAGATTCTATTTACTAACTTATGGATGAACACATCTACTTTGTGAGACAACTGATTTCTATTCCTGGACCCTAGAGTCATCCTTACAGGAAGGGCCCAGGAGAGAAGATAAGTATTTTCAGAAGATTATAGTTTATATACGGGCAATCTTTAAAATAGAGGTAAAGAGAAAATTTATCTAGAATGTTAGACATAAGACATCACTTTTTATTTGTAGCATATCTAACATTTAACATAGAGCTCTTATCTGAGGAGAGAGACTAAGGGATATGTTTGGTTGCTGATTTTAAAAAAAACTAAGAAATGTAGAATCAATACTGATCATGGCAATAAAAAGAGCCAACATCTGAGTGCTTACTATATGCCAGGCACCGTTCTAAGATGCCATGTGCGTGCTTACTGATTTAACAGTACCATGTTATCCCTGTTTTATGAAATGAAGAAATTGGGATTTAGAGATGTTAGGTAATTTGCCCAAGGTCTCACAACTAGTGAGTAGTGATTGAACCTAGGTCTGTCTGATTTGAGACAGGGAAGATCATAGACTTTATCTAATTCAGCCCTCTTTGTTTCACAGATTTGGAAACTGAGTCTCAGAGAGGTGAAGTGACTTACTCCCCTCACAACTAATTAATTATAGTGTTAATGCCGGAGGGATTAAAAATCTTTATTGTCATATGTATATTTTTTTAATTGAAGATTTAGGGTTTCAATACATTAAGAGGAAGTACAGTTTATTAGTGACTTCCATTTAAAAACCCTTCAGATTTCTTTTTATATTTTCTATACCTTCAGTCATCAAATGATTATTAGATTTATTTCCAGTAAGGTACATATAATAAGTAAAGTGAGGTTCTTTTAAGTTAGATCATATTCCATGATCATTATATTAAACATTTAACTGAAATATTTTGGCTTCTCTCAGTTTTGCTATGCCTTTTTTGGAGATGTGTGTATATGGTTTAGAAATAGACAGAGGATCCTAAATACATATTTCATTATTTTTTAAAAAACTTTAAATTACTACATACTTTATTCAGTATAAGATAATAGGAATCAATTCATGTTCATATATCTGATCATAATATTAAAATAGACTGTTTTAATTTCTTTGGTATTTTTGTAGCATTAAATTTTTGTTTTGAAATGAATTCCATATTTTCCTAAAGAAACTTGGTTTTAGATAGAAGAAAATTTTAAATATTGGCTCTTTCTTCCCTTCCAGGTTTCACCTTGCTTAAGTGTCCTGTCACGATTGTTGTTTAGCAGTGACCCAGATGTATTAGCAGATGTGTGTTGGGCCCTTTCTTATCTCTCTGATGGACCCAATGATAAAATTCAAGCAGTCATTGATTCTGGAGTCTGTCGAAGATTGGTGGAACTTTTGATGTAAGTATAATTTATGATTAATAATTGTATGATTATGTATTAAGTTTAGCAATTAGGGTAATGGCCTCATAAACATCTCAAGAATCACTGTCTTCAGGAAGGATTGAAAAGCTACCAACCCAACTTTGCAGAATAGCTATAATACTGAAAAATTGACCCTTAAACGTGTATCTTATATCCTATAGTTAGGACTAATTATTTTGTTAATGAATTTCCTTAATTTGATATGATTTCTTTATGAACGAGAGGGACTTAATTCAAGAAGTATTTATGGAATGCCTGTGACCTGCTAGAGTGTTGTATAAGACATTTTTAATGAAGTATAGAACATAGTTCCTGCTCTCACAGAACCAATAATCTAGTTAATTGTTCATTACCATAATTAATTTGTGTGCAAGTCCATGTAGTGAAAATCATTTCACGTGTGTTAAGGAGAATATATTTCTCATTGCTACCGTCTTTAAAAAGAACAGATTTCCTATACCAAGAAGTTAAAAAGTTGTAAGAAAACTTGTTTTAAAAAGATATTATAGTTTTTTCATCCTCTTATTTAAAAAAATTTATCATCTTCCTTCCTTTCTTCTTTCATCAGAAAGCTATTAGGTAGGCCCAAACAAGATGGATTGCACAAAGAAGAGAGGTCTAATAAGGAGTTGTGGCCCCAGTGTGAGGACAGCATCAGAGGAGGGTGGGCAGGCAGGTCCAATGCGGCGATCAGGGCCCAAGCCTGAGGATGGCACCCACTAGAGCGGAGCAGACAAGCCGGCTACAGCAAAGGGTTGGAGCCAACACACTACAGGACAGCAGCATAGCTGGATCAGAAGATTGGCCATTTATATGGCCATGATGATAATAGAAGCCAGTTTCTTATTCTCAGAGAATGGAGATATAAATATGGAAGAGAGGAAAGCCAGAACAGTCTTGTAGTATTAGATTAGAATTAAAGGTATCAATGTGAACTCATGGCTTTCAACGTAAAGAAATAGACTTAGAAATAAATATGTATGTGCATGTGTGTGTGTATGTGTGTGTGTCTGTCTTAAAGGGCCTGGGAGCAGTGACACATCTATACTAATAAGCTGAACACACTGAGTGCCCAAATCTTGGTTTTTAAATACCACTCTCCATTAAAAGGAAACCAGGCTTCTTAGAGAAATGGCTGATTCCAGACTGGGACTGAGAAAAAATAAGATGAACCCAAAAATTAATAAGTCCTCAACAAATGGAGAAATGTCAAAAGGACACAGAAGCCCACTTGAAGGGGGCTGCTTACTGTTCAAACCTAGGATGATTTGAGCATTGAAATAAATTACAGTAATATTTTACAACTTATTGAATAAAATAGCGATCCATGAGTCCACACTAAAATAAGCAGATCGATCAAGCGGTAGATAAGGCACACAGTTGGAATTGATAGTATTAGAAAATCATCATTGGCAACAATACTAATATTAGTAATTCAGACAATAATCATCAAAAGATGCTAAAACTAGTAGTGAAAGTGGGTTAAGAAATGGGATTTTACATAGTTTAAAAGTATTTCCTCAAAAAATATTAATTATAAAGGGAAAAACAGTAATGCTAAAGTGGAGAATTCTGGCAGACACCATCTTAATTAAGTGACCAGAGTTCAGCATCACTGATATGGACAAAACAGGTACCATATGCTAGCCAATACTATGTGATGAAAAGACTATATAGCATTTGTGATATCAGCTAAAAGTATATAACTTGTGTCTTAATCATGAGGAAACATTGGACAAAACCAAATAACTGACTTGTGATTGTCAAAAATGTCAAGATCATGAAAATTAAGAAAGACTATACTACGATAATTAGTGAAACTTGAGTGGGATCTCTGGTTAAAGAATATATGGGAATTTTTTGTACTATTTTTGAAAATTTTCTGCAAATTTAAAATTCTTATATAGTATGTAAGCTCATGTTTTTATTATTTTTAGGCACAATGATTATAAAGTTGTATCACCTGCATTAAGAGCAGTTGGTAATATTGTGACTGGTGATGATATTCAAACACAGGTGAGTTCAGACTTTAATATGATAAATTATTTAACGTAATGGACTTTAAGAAGTTTATCATGTTTCATACCCTTGATTACATATTAATTAAGACTTTAGCATTACCATAATTATACAAGCATCTGTAATGTGACAGTAAGCATATTCTTGATAATAAGTGATTAACCTCAAATACATTCATGTGAAAACACTATCCTAGACCTATATCAGTCTAAAGAAGTACAAGATAGGAGTTCAGTTTTTGAGGGATTTATAGTTCAATTGGGGAGAAAATATACATTAAAACAAAGCAAATTTTACCCAAGATAGTATATGTTTGCTGTGAGCAGATTGGTCAGTAAATGCTATAAAATTTTTAAAAAGAATTCAGTGTGCTGAGAAATCTTTGTAGATTCCATAAACAAGTTAGAACTAAAGCTAGATCTTAAAAGTAAAGAACAATTTAAATAGACTGGAAGAGATTTATGTGACGATAGGTACAGAGGCAGATATGTGTTTTAGAGACATTAGACTTGACTGGAAAAGAAACTGTTAGTGAGAAGGTGTTTGATTATAAATAGGTTAGAAGTGGGCTTGAAAATGGGAGGGCTTTTTATAGTAGATTGAAGACTGAGATTATGGGAATAGAAGGAAGGATAGCAAGGAAACATTTCCCAGATTGGTAATTAACTGTGTGTTTGTGTCTTTCTCTGTTTGTCTTTTGGAGGATGGTGAGATATCAAAAAAAGGTGTAATGTCAAGACTGACTTCAGATCTGGGGTACAGTCTTTCTTGAAGATAGAAACTTAAACTCTGTAACACATTATCCTTTGCTGCCATAAAGTAAACATTTTATTCTTTCAGTTTTAATCTTTTAAAGTCCTATTTAGTTATTAAAGTTAATTCATAGTAATTGATAGTTATTAATTTAAAATAGCTCTTTAAATGAAAATGCCCTTCTAAGCACACTGTTTTCAGCAGAATTTCGGTGCACTGCTTCATACGTTCTTCACCAAGTAAATTTAATGTGAATCATTGTGGCTGTTTTGCAAATAGGAACATAATTAATCTTGCCATGAAATCAAGAATATAAAGGGACAAAGCAGAATATACTTTTTACAAAAGAAAAGTGAATCAGTAAAAAAATTTGATGAAACAAATAGACTTATTCTACACATTAACGTCTCTTAACAGTTATGGAATTAGGTACTTTAAACTATTTGTTGTGTTTTTTTTTTTTATCAATTCATTTGGAAAAACTAGGTTAGATCCTGACCAGTCACTAAATCTCTCTTCAAATAGTTATATCAGGTGAACTCTGAGGGCATTTGTAAACTTGAGGGACACACCTCTGAGTGTCCTGCTTATTCGTGTTTTGGTGGATTGAGAACAGGGCACTTCATTACACCAACGTTAGACAAGTTTTGGCAAAGTGGGAGATTAGAAGACGTTAAGTGCCCAAGTTTTACTTTGAGAGGAATTACTTTTTTCTTAATTTAGTCTTTCAGAATGGTTTTTGGATTTCTAAATAATTCGTTAGTATATTTTTGTATAGTTTATTTGCTATAAAACTTTCTGTTCCCATTTCTAACTTTTGTTTTAGGTAATTTTGAATTGCTCTGCATTGCCCTGTCTCTTACACTTATTGAGTAGCCAAAAGGAGTCAATTAGAAAAGAATCCTGCTGGACTGTTTCTAACATCACTGCTGGAAATAGAGCTCAGATTCAGGTAAATACCTTTCAGATCTGAGAATAGAACTGGAAGATCTCAGAATTCAGTTTGGACAAAAATCAGCATTTTATCAGTGATGTTTTTTAGTGAGTTACTGAAAAAGATTTAAAAAAAAGATTCTGGACAAATCTTTTTTAAAGATTTTAAAGAACATGGCCTTTTCTCCTCTAAAATAATGACATTTACTTGTAGTATTCTAGTGAGGAATAGCAATTACATGTATATAATTGCCCAGAATAGTGCCTGACACATAATGGTTAGTCTCTAAAAGGGGATTGATTTTCATTAGTTTTAAATAAGTTAGGCAATGATCTTCCTCTCACAGATTTTAAATAATGATTTATTAGGGTCCTGTCAAGCTCCTTGAGCTGGTAATTACCTAACCATTTTGATCTGTCATCTGCCTTGTGCTTTATCAGCTTTAAAATGTATGTTCTGGGTGCCGGCCCCGTGGCTTAGTGGTTAAGTGTGCGCGCTCCGCTACTGGCGGCCCGGGTTCGGATCCCAGGTGCGCACCGACGCACTGCTTGTCCGGCCATGCTGAGGCCGCGTCCCACATACAGCAACTAGAAGGATGTGCAACTATGACATACAACTATCTCCTGGGGCTTTGGGGAGAAAAAGGAAAAAAAAAGGAGGAGGATTGGCAATAGATGTTAGCTCAGGGCCGGTCTTCCTCAGCAAAAAGGCGAGGATTAGCACGGATGTTAGCTCAGGGCTGATCTTCCTCGGGGGGGAAAAATAAATTTATATTCTGCTAATATATTCTCTAGTCTTAAAAGGAAAGTATATGAAAGTTTGTTGATAGATTAGAAATAAAATATTTCCAAAGGTATTTCCAAAAAGCCTGATATTTTAAAGCTATTGAGTTTCAAGATTCCTCTACTTACTTATATTTTTAAAACAATATTTGCATTGCTTATTCTATATCATTTTTCCTCCTCAGGCTGTTATAGATGCAAATATTTTTCCTGTTTTGATTGAGGTTCTTCAGAAAGCGGAGTTTCGCACCAGAAAAGAAGCAGCTTGGGCTATAACTAATGCAACATCAGGAGGCACTCCAGAACAAATAAGGTGTGATAACAGATTTTTTTAAATTGTTTTTTAAATGTAAATGGGAGAAAATTTGAAATAATACTTATTTTTTTTGTTGATGAAACTAAAATATTGTTTCTAAGTCAGTTTAAGAAGTATTTCTAATGTGAAATGATGGTGTTTGTTATATCAGTTATATCATTCATTCACAGTGGTTTATTTTTTTCATTTAACGTATAATTAACATCATTCTCCTGGGCAGACTATTAATGAAAAATCAGAGATTAAAAATCTGAAAAAGGAACAGTTTATGTTAATTTGAAAAATGTACGATCAAGGACATTATTTTTTAGACCATTAAAATCACATAAATGTAACTTTATTATATAGAAGTAGCTAATAAATTTGAATATCCACTTATCTAAAATAAAATTAAAATAGACATTTGTTTATATAGTGATGTTCTCCTATTTGATTGTTAGCCTTGGCTGTGGATAGTATCTTACTTTTATTTTTCTATAATAGTATTTTTTTTTTTTCTTTTTTATGTTAGCTTTTTGAATCTAGGCCTTTTGTTGTTTATGTACTTGTTCTTTTACTAACAACCTAAATAGTAGGTACATAGGCTCTGAAGTCAGCCTGCTTTCAAATCCTACTCCTTTGGTAAAAGTTGTGTGACCTTGACAAAGTCATTTAACCTTTCTCATCCACGGTTTCTTCATTTTTTAAATGGATTCTATAATGGATAGTATCTTATGGTAGTATCTTGACACTTAAATGCAGTTTATACATGTCAAGTGCTTAGTATGGTGCCTAAACATTAAGTTCTCAATTAAGATTAGCTGCTATTATCATTATTTGTAATCATCATAATTTTTATTATCAGTATTGCTTCCTAAGTCTATCTTGTGCTTTATTCTTTTTTCCCCTATAGCAGAGTTCCACTTTGCACTTCTATAAAAGCCTGACTTCCACCAGAATCTTCTTGGTCAGAGGATCCCTCCATGAAACTCAGGATTTTTTAGGTTTATTGAAGTGACTATTTAGGAAGTATTTTGCAATGAATATTTGATTTATTTCTTAATTTATGAATCAAGAAGTCAGGCTACTATGCTATTTTACAAATCACTTAGAAGATTTTGAAATCTACCTATTGTGAGATCATTGTCTGTTATTGCCTTCATTTGTACTGTTGTCTTGCTCTCTCAGATTCATATATCTCTATGTTGATAACATCTGTCTCTGCTTTTTACTTTCCATTCCACATCTCTGCTTTCAACAATATTTCCATTTCATTTGTTTCATGAATACAAGCAGTAACAAAACAAGATCTTTTCTTTGTTCTGGCTTGTTTTTTTTTTAATACTCATGTTACTTTTATCTGCTTTGGGGCCCAAAGTTTCTTCACCTACAAACAGTTGTACTTTTAAAATTTATTTTCATCATGTTTATTGCGTGTATTATTCCTTAAATTTATTAGTATGAATCAAGTGTCCAAACTAGGATCATTATTTTTCTAACCATTTTCACCATTGCATTAACTCCACATATATGGGAAGAGGTCTTCTTGATCTCAGGTTAGGTTCAGCGTGCATACCACTAATATTTATTGACTATCTAATATTGCCAGTTGTTGTGCTAAGTCATTGCTGTTATTGAGTGCCAATAGTGTATTAGGTACTTTCGTGTATTTCATCTCCTTTAACCTCATAACTCTATAAGATAGTTATTCATTCAACAAATATATTTGATCAATTACAGTGAAGTATATATGGGAAGTGAGTGTTGCAGTGAAGGCATGTACATTTTTTTAAAAAAAGGGATGGAAACTAACTTTTATTGAATGCCTACTGTATTCTCACAGCAACCTTCTGAGGTTGGTACTATTATTATCCCCATTTTAAGATGGGGAAACTGAGGCACAAAGCAGTTACTCAAGGTCACACAACTAATAAGGAGTGGACTTGGGACTTGGAACCATGCAGTCTGGCTTCAGAGCGTGTTTTTTTAATGCTTAATATGGAGTTTTTGCTAAGTGAACAAATCAGTTACTTTATTTACATTCTGGAAAAAGAGCTAATGGAAAAGGACAAAGCATTAAGAAATGAGTGGAGTAATTTTTGTGAACATTATTTATTAAAATTATTTGTAACATGGCCTATTTGTAACAGCAGATGTTTCTGAACATTAGCTCTGATTATTTTTGTGGGAAATTTCCTAAAGTTTGATTTAGATCTCCCTTCTCCCTCTTTATTTCTACCTACTCCCAGGTGACCCCTATCTGTATACATAGGCTCATCTTTAAAAAAGAAAAAGCAAAACACCTCGAACCCACTATTCTTAGTGTTCATATGCCATGCAAAAACAGGCCCAAGTACCAATTTGCTTGTGTATGTATTTTTGTAATAAATGCAATACCACTTATTAGTAATTATGTTAAATTATGAGAACAAGAGAGTAAAAAAATTTTCAGGTTCCTGTGCAAATTTAAATGTTTTTAATGTTTGAGTTTGTATAAGAATACTTTTCTTTATTGTTTATATAACATTTCACTATGAAAAATATTTTCATGTCATTGCTATAAATAATATTTATTTAAGTCATTTTAAATGTTTTTTTCCCCTCACTTTCCTTTTTCAAATTACTCTGAAGGTATTTGGTAGCCTTAGGCTGCATTAAACCACTTTGTGACCTTTTGACTGTTATGGACTCTAAAATAGTCCAAGTGGCTTTAAATGGACTTGAAAATATTTTACGTCTTGGAGAACAAGAATCTAAGCAGAATGGAATAGGCATTAATCCATACTGCGCTCTCATTGAAGAAGCATATGGTAAGCAGTCAGTTAAAAATTTATAATTACAGTCAATTCTTTTTTTAATTGAGATATAATTGACATATGGCATTATATTGGTCACAGGTGTACAACATAATGATTCAATGTTTGTATATACTGTGAAATGATCACCCCAATAACAAGTTAACGACCATCAACCTTACATAGTTATAAAACTTTTTTTTTCTTGTGAGAAGTTTTAAGATTTACTCTGTTAGCAATGCTCAAATATATAATACAGTATTATTAACCATAGTCACCTTGCTCTACATTACATCACCATGACTTATTTATTTTATAAATAAAATAAATTTGTTTGTACAAATTGTAAGTTTGTACCTTTAGACCCCCTTCACCCATTTCACTCACGCCCACTCTGCCTCTGGCAACCACCAATCTGTTCTCTTGGTTTTGTTTTTGTTTTTTAGATTTGACACATAAGTGAGATCATAGGGTATTTGTCTTTCTCTGTCTCACTTATTTCATTTAGCATAATGCCCTCAAGGTCCATCTGTGTCACAAATGGCAGGATTTCCTTCTTTTTTATGGCCAAATAATATTTCATGGTATAATATACATACACCATATATTCTTGATCCATTCATCCCTCAGTGGACCCTTAGGTTGTTTCGATATCTTAGCTATTGTAAATAATCCTGCAATGAACATGGTGGTACATATATCTTTTGAAGTTAGTGACTTTGTTTCCTTCCGATATATACGTAAAAGTGGAATTGCTGGATCATATGGTAGTTCTGTTTTTAATTTTTGGGGGAGCCTCTATACTGTTTTCCATAGTGGCTGCATCAATGTACATTTCCACAACTAGTGTGCAAGGGTTCTCTCTTCCCCACATCCTCGCCAACACTTATTATCTCTCATCTTTTTGATGACAGTCATTCTAACAGGTGTCAGGTGATATCTTATTGTGCTTTTGATTTGCATTTCCCTGATGAATAGTGATGCTAAGCACCTTTCCCTATAACTCTTGGCCATTTGTATGTCTTCTTTGGAAAAATGTGTATTCAGATCCTCTGCCCATTTTTTAATTGGATTGTTTATTTTTGCTATTGAGTTGTGTGAGTTCTTTATATATTTTGGATATTAATTCCTTATCAGGTATGTGATTTGCAAATATTTTCTCCCATTCTGTAGGTTGCCTTTTCATTTTTTGATGGTTTCCTTTACTGTAAAGAAACTTTTTAGTTTGATGTAGTCCCATTTGTTTATTTATTTTTGCTTTTGTTTCATTTGCTTTTTGGGTCATATCCAAAAAAATTATTGCAAAAACCAATATCAGGGAGCTTAATGCCTATGTTTTCTTTAGGAGTTTTATGGTTTCAGGTCTTACATTCAAATCTTTTTAATCCATTTTGAGTAGATTTTTGTGTATAGTGTAAGATAGTGGTCCAGTTTCATTCTTTTTATTTGCTGAGGAAGATTCTCCCTGAGCTGACATCTGTTGCCAATCTTCCTCTTTTTTTGCTTAAGGACTATTAGCCCATTAGCCCTGAGCTAACATACGTGCCAGTCTTCCTCTATTTTTTGTATGTGGGTCGCGGTCACAGCATGGCTGTCAAGTGGTGTAGGTCCATGCCCAGATCTGAACGCATGAACCCAGGCCACGGAAGTGGAGCGCACCAAACCTAATCACTATGCCATGGGGCCAACCCCAGTTTCATTTTTTGCATATGGCTGTCTAGTTTTCCCAACACCATTTATTGACAAGACTATCCTTTCTCCTTTGTATATTCTTTGATCATTTGTCATAAATTAATTGGCCATATATGCGTGGGTTCATTTCTGGACACTCAATTCTGTTCCATTGATCTATGTGTCTCTTCGTATGCCAATACCATGTGGTTTTGTACTTACTTTGTAATATAATTTGAAATCAGGGAGCATGATGCCTCCAGCTTTGGTCTTTTTTCTCAAGATAGCTTTGACTATTTAGGGTCTTTTGTGGTTCCATACAAATTTTGGGATTGTTTGTTCTATTTCTGTGAAAGATGCCATTGGAATTTTAATAGAGATTGCATGGAATCTGTAGATTGCTGTGGGTAGTTTGGATATTTTAACAATATTAACTCTTCCAATCCATGAGCACAGAATATCTTTCGATTTTATTTATGTCTTCTTCAGTTTCTTGCATCATAGTTTTCAGTGTACAGGTCTTTCACTTCCTTGGTTAAATTTATTCCTAGGTATTTTATTCTTTTTGATACAATTGTAAATGGGATTGTCTTCTTAATTTCTCTTTCTGATAGTTCATTATTAGTGTATAGAAATGCAACTGATTTTTGTATGTTGGTTTTGTATCCTGCAACTTCACTGAATTTGTTTATTAGTTCTAACAGTTTTTTGGTGGAGTCTTTAGAGTTTTCTATATATGATATCATGCAGTCTGCAAGTAGTGACAGTTTTGCTTCTTCCTTTCTTAATTGAATGTCTTTTCTTTCTTTTTCTTGCCTAATTGCTCTGGCTAGGACTTCTAATTCTATGTTGAATAAAAGTGGTAAGAGTGAGCATTGTTGTCTTGTTTCTAATCTTAAATGAAAAGCTTTCAGCTTTCCAGGTTGAGTATGATGTTAGCTGTGGGCTTGTCATTATGACCTTCATTATGTTGAGGGATATTCCCTCTATACGCACTTTGTTGAGAGTTAGTCCCTTCTTAATTATCTGCCAAAGGCATTTTTCCCCTCTAATTCCATAAAAATATTTTGTTGTAAAAGCAGTATAATAGTTAAAAAATGTTTTTTAAAAGTTACCTTTGATTCTATTACCTTAACAATTTATTTTCATTATTTGCCTTTCTTTACATTATCCTTATGCACAAATACTTTACATCGATATAATTGCAGTGCATGTGTAGTTTTATGTTCTACTTTCTAACATTTTGGAGAAATTATACATTTCTACATAATTTTTATGATTTGTATTAAAATCATAATGTTATATTGAGCGAATATCGCATGCCATTTTAGCCATATTGAGTACAGTTTTATCCATACTCTTGTAGTTGACCATTAGTTTGTTTCCAATTTGTTTACCACTTAACATATGCCAAAATAAGTATCTTTCTGAATATAAATTTTTAGGAATGCTACTGCTGAGGCTTGGGCACAAACTTCTTTTTAAACTTTTGATATGTTTTCTCATTTTGTTTTCCAACGAATGGCATATTACTTGACAGTGTCACTAGCATTGTATGAATCTACTCCACAGTCTCTTACTTGTTTTGTTTATTTAGCACATGTAAAATGGTATCACCAAATTGCTTTTATGTGTTTTTGACTTATTTCTTGTAGAAGGTTGTGTTTTCCATGTGTTAATGTATTTCTTCATCTGAATTGAATATTTATTGTATTTTGTCCAGTTACCTATTTGACTCTTAAAAATTTGAATTAATTTTATTTTATAGTTGTTTATTTTAGTTTGGCTTTTCTCCCATTCCTTTTTACCTTTTTATTTTAATAAGACAAACTGTGTTCATTTATATTTAATAAATGACTCAATCTAACCTTCTGTTCCTTCAAAGTTTACAGTTATTGCCCCCACAGAGATTTGATGAAAATTAATGTTTTTTATTGGCTAGATTTTTCTGATTGGTTTCTTAAAACATTTAACTTAACTCACATCAGTTTATTTTAGGATAAGGCATGAATCTAAGTTGATTTTTTTTCCTTTTAATATATTTCCATTAAATATTCACTTTTCTGTCTTTATTAAGTCCTATTATGTTATATGGTTGATTCAAGTTTTTATTGATGATTCTTAAACCAAGCCTGGGATATCACTTTGCCTTGCCTTTATTTCAAATTATATAATGTCACTGGTTAAGATGTTATATAAATACAAGATATTAATCACTGATTTAAGAATATTTCCTTACTACTGTCGTTATTTTGACCCCATACTAGAGTTTGGGCTATTCTGTTATTGTACATAGATATGACTACTTTGGTTATTCTTCCTATCCTATAGTAATATAATTGAAGACGTTTATCTGTAATTAAATGAAAAATACTTTCAGCATCAGTCAGACTTGTGTAGATTATTTTCTTGTAAGCAGTAAAATAGAGTGCTATAGATTCTCCTCATACTTTCAAAATGAGCTTTTTCTGTTTCACTTATAGATTGTACTTTTTGTAAATTATAGAGTAGCTATATTGGATTTGCAAATATACTCATTTATTCCATATTGATACCCTCTGGCTCATTCTATGAGAGAATGTATGTGTATTAGTTTGCTTGCGTTTTAGTTTGTTCATTAGTTTTTTTTGTTTCTTTCCCTTTTTGTGATTATTAGTTAGCATATTTACTCTGGAAAGTACTTGTGGAGTTACATAATCTAAAACTGTCATTTTAAAATTGAGAAACTAAAGTACAGAAGAACCAAACTTATTTGGGCAAAATCACACATCTAGCAGGATTGAGTCTATGATCTTCTTACTCCCAGGCCTGTGCTACTTCCTCGTACCACACTGCCCCTACTCTCATTCTTGCAGTATAAGGTATAAGTGTTGGCTATCAGTGTGTGCAAAAATTAGATAAAAATAACAGTCCCACTGCTGATAGACTGGTGGATGCTGTTGATTATTTTGATTTAAATATATGTTGAAACTTGAGTAAGAATTTTGTTTATATGTCTATGCTTTGTATAATAGGTCTGGATAAAATTGAATTTCTACAAAGTCATGAAAATCAGGAAATATACCAAAAGGCTTTTGATCTGATTGAACATTACTTTGGTGTAGAAGACGACGACCCCAGCATTGCACCTCAGGTGGATGAAAACCAACAACAGTTTGTATTTCAGCAGCAGGAAGCACCAATGGAAGGGTTTCAACTTTAACTTGGTAGGAGAAATATTAATAGCTAAAAAGGGTAGCTTCAGATATCTTCTCTGTTGCAGTGTCAGTAGGAATGTTTGATGTGTTTTTATGTAGAACAGAAAAGAAAGAAGTTGATGCACTTTTAAAAAGCAAAACAAAAGTTTCCATTCAGATGCAACCTTTCGTTATAGTTTTGTTTTTATTTTGGTGTGCCTGTATTTTTGTCTTTTACTGTTTTATCTATTTTTTTGTATCTATTTGTGAGCAATTAAATAGATTATGTGAAATTATTTAATATTTTAAGCTTGAAAAGGAGAACTTTGGTAAAGTATTAGATAATGGTTCTGAATTTTTTCTAGCACTCTTGGAAACTGCACATTAGCAGTACAGCTATTGATAATTGCATTTTGGCAGTAAGTCTGACATGCCCAATCTCTACTAAATCTACCTCTATCTTGAAGCAAAAACAAAACAAAAAAGCTTCAGAAGCATGAAATAGTGTAAAAGCTAAATTAGAAGGTGAAAATATTTATTACCTTAAATTATAAATCACTGTGCTGTAGGTTATACTTTGCAAAAAAAAAAAAAAAAAGACAACAGAAAACCTGTAAAATTTATTTATAAAACATAGAAGAAATACTGTACTGATAATCAATTAAAATGTGGCAATTGTGAAGAGAGAAGCTGTTCTTCATGTTGAACACATTAAAATGATTACACAACGTTTAAATATTTGTGTTTTTAACTTATAAATGCTATTATATTAGTATATTTTGTATTTCAACCAAATATGCTACCATTTTTGAAATAGTTTTATTATTTTTTCACTCTTCATTTTAAAAAGCATCATGATAGAGATGCCATTATGAATCTAAAGTAGTGCTGTATAGCAAAAAATACTGTAATTCTGTCTCTGATTTTTTCAGAGCAGTAATTGAAGTTTCACTTTCTTCTTATAATGAACTTAGGTACTTGAATGGCAAAATTATTCTGAAGAAATCACCATGTTATATGTTAAATTTTATTAAATGTACTTAAACAATGTTTGGACCCTAAAGGATGATATTAATGAAAATTGTTAAGGATTCTTTAATATGATTGAAATCTATACAGTCATGCTCTGCATAACAACGTTTTGGTCAATGATGGACTGCATATACGACAGTGGTTCCATAAGTACCATACAGCCTAGGTGTGTAGTAGGCTATACCATATAGATTTGTGTAAATACACCCTACAGTGTTCGCACAACAACAAAATCGCCGAACAACACGGTTCTCAGAACATATCCCTGTCGTTCAGCAACACATGACTGTATTAGGAATTTTTGGTTTTGGTAATACTCAGAGGATCATACTGCTGCTTGTTACCATTGTATTAAATTACATTTGTATCAGATTGGTCAATATAATGTGTGTATTTTATGTATTAACAGCAAAAACCTCTTCAAACTGTGAAACTTTAAAAAAAAGTTTCAATAGAAAAATTATGTATATATTTATTTACAGATACATGTATATTCATGTGTCTATGTGTTATTTTTACAGTACTATACTTGGTAGAGTTTTCTAAGCAGATATGGTACTGTTGAACTCAGTCTTTTCATTTATACTTATATGCAGGCTATTTACATTTCCAGTTATATACCTAATATACTTATTTAAAGTTAGTTTACAACTGTTTTAAGATGGGAACTAAAGCATTTTTGATATGATTCATAGTCTATTCTGTAAAGAAAGATTTCATTTATGATAGCATTTATAATGTTTCTGCTGGAAATCAGAGGCATGTTACAAGAAGAAAATGTATGTAGGAGTACTTTTAAATAATATGACACTTTGTCAATTATATATCATGAAACGAAGCTTTTGGCAAGACACTTAAAGCCTACAGCGATAAAATACAGCTTTAAATGGCGTCCATAATGCTGACTGCATATGCCAAACCTCTTTTATATTGTTAAGTAGAGGATTGTGTCTGTGCCCTTTTTATTGTAGTGGAAGTTATGAAGGTTAGTATACAGTTTTTCTTTTGCATTATGTATATTCAAAAGAACAGGGTAGTTATATTAAAGATTACCAAATTGATGGTGAATTTATCAGATAAATGCTTTTTTGTGGTGCAGATGGTTCTGAGTATCAGGTGACAGGGTATTCCACTCTTTGTAATCAATTGAACTTGATAATGCAGCATAATTCATAAACTAACCAGCTGTGCCTGCTTTTATTTTGAGGACCCTGTAGTCACATTAATGAATCTCTAAGCCAAGTCTTTCAAACAAAATAGTTCTTATAGAAGGAAAAATAATATGTGTGTGTGTGTGTACCCATACACACATAAAGAATGACCTTTGAGGGGAGAATTTTTAAATTTTTGCCAGTAAAACAGACATTATATCTCTTAAGTACAGAATATGACCATATTTTAAGCATTTAAATATAAAATTATATTTAATTTCTTGGATCTGTTAGTTGGGTAATTAATTTGATTAGATTTAAAATGCAAGGAGTATATTTATTAGTTGGGGCTAGCTGTTGGTGTGGTGATGACTTTATTGAACCAAGACTAGCAAATATTTTCTTCTTAAAAACTTTTTTTAAATATGACCACTCTTTTCAAATGTGCTATTTAAAATGCTCCAAAATGTATTTTCGTTAATCTTCACTGACCCTTGTGAAAAAAATTTTTTTAACTTGCTTTCCTAAGATTTATTACATTTAAATCCAAGAGAAACTGTGCCAAAAAAAAAAAAAAAAATTAAAACACGTTGTAAAGAGGAATGCAGGCAACATTAATGCAAAAATCAAGAAAATACTTGAAAGAGTTCTTTTCATTTATTTAATTAAATTCGGTGTTTTGTCTGAATTTGAATTTTTACTAGTTAATCTATGCAATTATGCTTACTTATTTTATACTTGTAAGTACTTGACTCTCTGGCCTGGTTTTTTTACTATAAGGTTTATTTTGAAAGATTTTTCTGGAACTTAACTTTTAGTGTCATTTTGTTCACTTACTGGTAGCACCAGAACAGGAAAGCAAAAAAAAAAAAAAAGGTAATGAAATCTGCTGGCACGGAAATAACATATCAGTTGGTAACTGTAAAACCTGTTTGCAGTTAAAGGTTGACTTGTTGGATAAATGACTAAAAAAAGCATTACCTTTACCTTCCTATTTTTTCTTCTCTTAAAAAGGGAGCATTATGGAAAAAGTAACTATAAAACCAAGTCTTAGTGGAGTTTTCTTGCTGTTATAAATTCAGCAATCTACTGGCTGCTTTGTGAAACTGTGAAATCAAAGTAATTGTTGTTAGCCTTTACTCAGTTCATAGCATTACTGTTTTCTGAAATGTGACATATTAGGAGTCAATATGATAGGGCTCTAAAAGGATAATGCATCTTTAAATTCTGATTGGGGAGTGGGGTGAGGGAAGGATATTCTACCTAATTAAATTAACCAACATTTGAGCAGTATGCAATATTATGAAATGTTACAGCACTATATTAAAAATAATAAAATACTATTTTACAATTGGATTTATATAAATGTGTCTATTTCATTTGTGATTGTATATTTCTAACGGAGCAAAAACAGATGCCCTCATCAATTAAAATTCCACCCACTTTCTAAAATCAGTAAGATTTTTGTTTGTAGTGTATCAGATAAAGCAGTATGTTGCTTTTACTTTAGAACTTATATATTCTGCTATAATGGGAAACATGTCTAATTTATCTTCATATCTCAAGCCTTGGCAATTAGTGGATAGTCATGTTTTAAATTGAGATTATTTTTTTCTTTTTGGTTATTTTAATGCAATATAATGCACTTATTTAAGGAGTGAAGTTTTAAGCCTAATAGAAATTGGAAGGAATGTCTGATTTAACTTTCTTAATGTATTCTAGAACCCCAGGTCACATAGTAACCAAGCCTACGCCCCCCCAGCCTAGTGTTTTTGTTTTTGTTTTTTCTTGTTTAGCTACCATGTTTTCTGCTTTGGCTGGCTTCATTTCCTTCACTATTTGAAACTATGTTAGTCACAGAGTAGTGAAAGTAATTGGATCAGTTATCTTTAGAGTACCTTGCTCTGAGTCTAGGCAGTCTGCACCTTTAATGGCAAATGAATTGTTGAAAATACAATGTACAGGTCAGACAATAAGACTTAAATATGCAGTGGAGTTCCCTTCCCAGAAGTCCCTAATTACACCTTTTAATGATGTGTTTGCTCAATTTTCTATATGTTCTTTAATGTTCTTTCCTTTCATATTTGAACTGTTGACTAGTTAAGTTCAGTGAGCATGTGATTCCCCACTTTTAATCCATCTAATGATTTTTTGTTTGTTTCAATAGTTTAAGTTTTAGGAGATATATACATTGCATCATTATTAATAGCACTTTAACATTTCAATTTTCCACTCTGTTATGAAATAAAAATTTCAAATAATTGCACTGACAAGCGCTGCTGTACAGCACCACCAGAACTGCAATTTTGGTTAGGGACGACAACCCTACCAAGTAAAGAACTTGAAATCCTCAGTAGCTAATGCACAAACATTTAAATTTGGAAACAGCGGGCAATTTAGGGAATTTATTGTGTAATGTCCAAAAGTGCCTGTTATTTAAAAATTGAATGTTTTAAACTTTTGGACAGTTTCAGGTTTGAGGGATCCTTCCTGTTCCCTTTCAGTTACATTTAACCTGTTTTTAGAACTATTATCTAAAACAGCATGGCAAAATTTAATATACTCTTTATTTAGGGTTTCAACATGACTCACTATTTTCTAAGCATTCAATCTTTTAAATTATTATAAAGTATACACAAAGAGAATAATGTATAAGAAGACAATTTGAATAATAAAATGAACACTTATGTATTCACCACCCAGCTTAATAAATTATTATCAGTCAGTCCCTTGTAATCATTACTCTGGATTTTATTAATAATTCCTGTGCTTTTCCTCATTATTTTATCTCACGTGTATGTATGCCTAAAATATATAGCTTCACTTGTCTGTTTTTGAAATGTATAAAATGTAATATTTAATATGTTCTGTGATTTTTTTTTTAGCTCAATGTTAACATTTTTTGAGATTCATTCATATTGATGCATATATCTGTGGGTCATTTTCGTAGCTGTATACTATTCCATTTTGTGACTACATCATGATATCTGGCAAGGTGAGTCTTCTATCTTGTTCTTCAAGACTGTCTTGCCTCTTTGCATTTCCACATAAATGTAGAAGCCACTTGTCAAATTCCATGAAAAGCCTCAGAGATTTTGGATGAAATTATATTTAATCTGTAGGACAATTTTGGAGGAATTAACATCTTAATGATACTCTTTCCATAAACAAGTTATAGCTCACCATTTATTTAGATCTTCCTTACTGTATTTCAACAAAATTTTACAATTTTCTTCATAAAGATTATTCACATCTTTTACATTTACTCCAAGGTAGGATGCTTATGTTTTTCATTATTGTAAACAATATATTTTATTACCTAAAATTTTCCAAATTGTTGCTGGGGTATAGAAATGTAATTGATTTTTGTATATTATTCCTATCTAACAGCCTTGCTAAATTAATTTCAACTTGTAGATGATTTGGGTTTTCTTTGTAGATAATAATATTAACTGAATAGTGGCATTTATTTCAAATCCTTATTTCTTTTTCTTTATTGCTTAGGTAGGATCTCAGTACAATATTGATTAGAAGTGATAACGGCAGGCATTTTAAATTTCTTCCTGATTTAAAAAGAAATTCTTTTAATGTTTCACCATTGA